ACCCTATGAATGCCCAGAGTGTGGAAAGTGTTTCAGTCTGAAGGGAAGCCTTTACAGACATCAAAGAATCCATTCAGGAGAAAAACCCTATAAATGTCTGGAGTGTGGAAATAGCTTCAGTCTCAAGGGAAGCCTTCATACACATCAAAGGATCCATTCAGGAGAGAAACCCTATGAATGCCCAGAGTGTGGAAAGTGTTTCAGTCTGAAGGGAAGCCTTCTTAGACATCAAATAATGCATTCAGGAGAAAAACCATATAATTGCCTGGAGTGTGGGAAAAGTTTCAGTCATTTAGGACATCTCAGCCAACATGAAAGAATTCACACTGGAAAAAACCCGTATAAATGCCTGGAGTGTGGAAGAAGCTTCAGTTCCAGGGGAAACCTTTATACACATCAAAGAATCCATTCAAGAGAAAAACCATATAAATGCGTGGAGTGTGGAAAGAGTTTCAGTCAAAGAAAAAGCCTTTATAGACATCAAAGGATCCATTCAGGAGAAAAACCCTATAATTGCTTGGAGTGCGGAAAGAGTTTCAGTGACAGGGAAACCCTTTATATACATCAAAGAGTCCATTCAGGAGAAAAACCGTATAAATGCCTGGACTGTGGAAAGAGTTTCAGTGACAGGGGAAACCTTTATACACATCAAAGAATCCATTCAGGAGAGAAACCGTATAAATGCCTGGAGTGCGGAAAGAGTTTCAGTCGCAGGGGAAGCCTCTATACACATCACAGAATCCATTCAGGAGAAAAACCGTATAAATGCCTGGAGTGTGGAAAGAGTTTCAGTGACAGGGGAAACCTTTATACACATCAAAGAATCCATTCAGGAGAAAAACCGTATAAATGCCTGGAGTGTGGAAAGAGTTTCAGTCTCAGAGGAAACCTTTATACACATCAAAGAATCCATTCAGGAGAGAAACCGTATAAATGCCTGGAGTGTGGAAAGAGTTTCAGTCTCAGAGGAAACCTTTATACACATCAAAGAATCCATTCAGGAGAGAAACCGTATAAATGCCTGGAGTGTGGAAAGAGTTTCAGTCTCAGAGGAAACCTTTATACACATCAAAGAATCCATTCAGGAGAGAAACCGTATAAATGCCTGGAGTGCGGAAAGTGTTTCAGTCGTACAGGAAACCTATATAGACATCAAAAAATCCATTCAGGAAGAAACTAGATAAATGCCTGGAGTGGGGAAGGAGCTTCAGTGTGAGCGGAAGACTTTATACACATCAAGAAATCCATTCAGGAGAGAAACCGTATAAATGCCTGGAGTGCGGAAAGTGTTTCAGTCGTACAGGAAACCTATATAGACATCAAAAAATCCATTCAGGAAGAAACTAGATAAATGCCTGGAGTGGGGAAGGAGCTTCAGTGTGAGCGGAAGACTTTATACACATCAAGAAATCCATTCAGGAGAGAAACCGTATAAATGCATAGAATGTGGGAAAAGCTTGAGACAGACTGAATATCTCAAAATACGTCAAAGAGTTCACACCAGAAAAAACCTTAAAAATGCCTGGAGTGTGGA